TGGTAAGTTTACTTTTTTTTATTTCAAGAGAAACTGAAAATGGTCAATTAGAATAAGATGTGAGGTTTTAAATAAAGCTGTAGATAAAGTTAATAGGATCTATGTGTACTAAAAATTCTTCATAGAAGATGTACTTGCATATGAATAATGTTCACATTGTAATTATCATTTTTGGGTTTTAGTTGTGAAAACGCTATTTGATTTGAGGAAAGTTTGGACATGGTATGGGGTATTTGGAAAAAATTGTAACAGAAGGTGTCCAATGTATCAAGGTTATTCTTAATATAAATTAAACCACTGAAAGTGCCACTTGTTTTGGACAGTAATCATTGATCTTTGCAAGATCCTGCACATTGACATGCATTTTTTGTTTAATTGCTAATCTCATATTGTTGAATGACATAGAAACAAGAGAAGTAAAAATGGTGCTAATTTGTGGAAAGCACAATTTTAGGTATGTGGTATAATATAGTCCTGAATATAAACTTTCCTTTATTATATGGTTTTCAATGCACCCTTAGTAAAACTAGCCCCCCCCTTCCCCCCAAGACAAGTAGTTTAAGATATAATAATTTTAAGTATGGGATTTTTCTTTATAATTAATCTGTATATCAAAATGAATGCATTATGACTAGAGATTTTGCAGTTCATCCATCTGTTAAATATACCCATCAATATCAGTTTCATACAGTAAGAGATACCTATAATTGTAGAAAAAGTAATTCCACTTGCATTATTCATTGTAGGAGTTAGAGCAGCACCTTTGTGGGACAGCACAAGACAGGAATTTGTTGGTAAGTTTTAATATACCCCTAAAATGAAACTTCCCTTGTTTCTTCTATATATAGTTCCTTGAAATATGCTGCATTTTGTAAGTTATAACAAACTCACTAAAGATCTTTATTTAGAAAATTCCTCAGCTGAAGGTATTTTTGAACATTATGCAACAGTAATACCTCTAAGTTAATACTTAGTGTAGAGTACACTAGTTCAGCATTATGGTTTTATGTATCTAACATAGAAACATTTAAATTATATTCTGTGAGATTGGCAGTTTTAGTGAGGTACATACTAAAAGGTACTGATTTTTTGTTTTCTTATTCTTTACAGGAATGTTAACAATCACTGACTTCATTCACATTTTAAGAACCTATTACAAGTCACCACTGGTAATGGATATGCCAGTTGTATTTATCTTTACTTTTGTATTTTCTTTCTACTGATACATATAATCATTAACGAATGGAATTCCTGTCTGTTACTGTTTGCTAGATTATTATTTCTTTAGAACAGTTGTATTTAATCTGGAATTTTAAGTGATTCAACAAATAGTTTGGCAATTCTGATTATGTAATTTAAAGGACAGAACTAGTTTATATTGAATTTTGAGTTTTAGTATTCAAATGTTAAATTTAAGCCTGATTAATAATCAGATCCATACAAAAAGAACAGTACTTGTGTAGTAGTGACTTTATTTGGTTTAATGAGATGTTTGTTTATATAGATATGTTTAGAATGATTATAAATGGTGGTTTTGATGGATATATTGTTGATTAATTAGTTAATCACAAGCCATAACAGATTAAAAACGTAAATTATATTTTTAGAATACCTAGTAGACAATTTCAGTCAGAGTTGACTGTTTCAATTTTGTAAGTGGGAACCTCCTGTTGAATAGCTTACAAATAATTAATTGCTTAGGACATACCTGGTATTAGTTAAGCCAGTATTATCAGTGATTAAAAAAAGAAATATTTCTTTAAATTTGTAATCAATATAACTTGTTTAGATATAGAACTATAATTAAAAAATTGTACAATATACACCCTGTAATTATATATTTTTGAAGGATTTCATTGTTTTTTTTATCTGAAAAACAAAATCAAACCACAGATTTAAAGAACTGAATGATTAGAATTTATTTATATTGAAACTCAATTGAAGACAAGATTTAAGATTGTTTTCATTAGTTTGAAAGCAGTTATAAAATTAGTTTATAAACAGTTATTGACTAGAATGTTTTGTTACATGGAAAGAGACACCTAAAGCTATTGATTGAACTTGCTTTTCATTAACATCCAACAATGTTTAAGATTAACTTGCATATTCTAATCCTAAAATGGTTCAATCTAGAGAACATCCTTTGAAAACTAAATTACATAACATATTTGTGAATGAAATCTAGAATATTAGTTTTTGCTTTACCGTACAATGAGAAGACGAAGTTAAGTTTTTTAACAGCAAATCAGTTGCTGAACTAGTTTCTTTCATTTTAGATCTAAGACTACAGATCAACGTTATCTTTTTAACACACACTTTTGTCATCACTGTAATTGAATAGAATCTTAAACACTGAATATATTACTATATGATTGGGTGATCTTTTGTACTAGACTTGTTCAAAATTAACAAATGTGTGTTCTTGTACACCTGCTTTCAGCCATTTGATGTTAGACCGAATATACCTTGATTTGCATCTAGGACATAATTCATTGACTACATTATATGTTATTAAAAACAGTATTCTGTCCTTAAATCTGAGAATTTTTGCAGTGTTCATTTTGGTGTAAAAATATGATTAAAATGTATCTGTGGATGTAAGTTCTATGAAAGGACTACTTAGATTCTTCACTAACATCACATATCTGCCAGCATTATTAACAGCATCTTATGTTGTGGCACATTGTACATAAGTCTTTTGACAACTCCATTTTCTCTGTATATTCTAGTATGTTGTTAATAATACTCATTGGAAAGGCTTTTTTTTTCATGCTATCAATTTATTTATGTAGATGTTAAGTTATATCTTTAATGTTGCAATTTGTTTGCTATAGAGAACTGTGGGTTGTAATGATGATGTAATGATAAAGAGGCATAACAAAATAACTAAAACAAGGATTAGTTACAAATATGAGAATTAGCTTGGTCGTGGGACAGTGTGTTTATGAGCATTGAGCAGTCAGTTTAGCTCAGTGGAGTATTTGGATCAGTGATAGTGATTGTGCATATTAAGTTATTTGATCAATTAGCCATGAAATTGTGCAAGTTTATTTTTGTTAGTCCAAGTACCATTAGCAAGGCATTTGGTGCTTTGAATATCATTTATAAAATTGGGCCCTACAAATCACAACAGTGTACAAGCATGTAGAAGTATTAAGTAAGAAATTAACTAATTTGCTATTATTGGACTGGTCTTTGAACTATTTTCTCTTGATAAGTTGAAAGAACCTGGCCAATGGAAGTGTGTTACAACAGTATATTCATATGTGCTAATGATTTGTTAATAACATTTTTGTCTAATAACATTGGAATAAAACTGGTAAAATTTAAATTTAACCAGTAAATCCAAAGACAGTGAGAGAAGTCTACACATACTAGACTGTTAATCCAAAGACTAAGGTATCAACTAAATGAAATTAATCTGCAATTGATTTGCTGTTGAAGATTTTTGTTTAGGCACATAGAACTGTAGCATATGAGAATCTGGTAGTATGGAGATATAGTATAGGGTATAGTTTGTAATGAAATGTTTATCAAAAGTTTTGTACATGATAAAGAATAATGTAAAGGTTAATTATGCAGTGATTATACATAATCAGGAAAATACTTGGTATGTTACAGGCTTTTATTAATGGGCAATTGGTGTAGCATGTGATAAAATGATGTTGATGGCTTACACAAACAAAAGTTTATGTTTGGAAATTGGATGTGATAAATGCATTTTTGTGTATAAAAAATATATAAATATGTAATTGTGTGAAATAAAACTTAACTTTTGTTATTATCTGTGTTAAATCTACACATTATATATGAACTACAGGTTCATATGGAAGAACTAGAAGAACACAAATTAGAGACTTGGAGAAGTAAGTTGAAATTTAGCACAAAGATAAATGTATGTATGAACTAGGCTTAATTGTGGAAAATGTATATATATGCATAATTATAGTAGTTCCAGCCCACACCAGGACAAGTAACACCATATAGTGCTAGAACTTTTATTTTAAATGAAAAAAACTTTTAGTGTTGAATGTTTTCTAAAGTAAAAGCTGCATGTAGTGTCATTACATTTAAACAATTGAATGTTATTAGAATGAATTTATGCCAAAGTTTACATGTATAAGTGTACATGAAAATAAGTAATAAAAATTCAAGAATATTTTAAGCTAAAAAAATTTCTAATTGCATTTTTGCATACAAGTTCCTTTAATAAGTGTGTGTGAATTCAGTATTTTAAATTCACTAAATGAAATTTTATGTACTGAATTAGTGTACACAGGATCTTGGAACATACTATATTTTGTCGTGTTTTGCAAATTAAAGAAAATTATTTGGTTAATTGTGAGCGTTATAAACCTTTTTATTCTATAAATATATTTCAGATGTCTTGAAGACCAAGATCAAGCCATTAGTTAGTATTGGACCTGATGCAAGGTAACTTATCATATTAATACGCTTATATCTGTAGTTAACATATCTAAACAGAAGCTGTACATCACAAACATGCACACACACACACACACAGTCTCTCTCTCTCTCTTTCTCATAGTTTTGGATAATTCTATAGAACTGTATCTTTGTTTGAATTATAGATCGAAGTATTTAATTCAAATTAGCCATACAATTTGCAACAATTTAGAATTTATTCTACAAACTGTGGTGCCTATGTTTGGCATATTGACTGTGATGTTGTATTTGTTCCTATAAAAGTGCAAATATTTCAATTATACAAAATTATGAAAAGTGGATCAAACAATAGTTATTGGGTTATTTTTCTTTAAGAAGTCAAAATTTAGTAATTGATTAAAATCATCTAAAATAGTAATAATGTGAGCATGTGTATTTCGTTTTACTGATAAAGCTTACATTAAAGTAATTTCA